CCCAAATGGAAATTGCCATCAACTCCGACGAAGTCGAAGCCATAATGTGAGATATATATATCAGGCATTATGTTGTAGTTGGCCCAACACTGGCTATGCTTTGCATGTTCGTTATAACAGATGAATTTCGAAATTCTCTTCTCTCCATGACTGACATATTTCTTTATTTAATATAGAGAATCATTATGGGATTACTTTACATTGTTGTAAGCTTCTCTATAAAGTAATTTCGGATCTAATGTCTTTCTAGCTGTAATTTTTTTTTTTTTTTTTAATTTTTAAATTTCAACTTGACTTGCTAGACAGACTTGAGGAAATGGTATTTTAAATAATAAAGATTGTTGTTGTAAATGAAAACCTCACTGTAAATGAGGCTTCATACCGCGCTGACGTTCATGACAGAGGAGATGATTTCTTTACCACTGCGTGTACATCGAAACACATTTTGCCTTGTAAATCCTATCAGTTTGGAACATCCATCAAAAGTAAAACTTGTCTTGGAGAGGGAAATACACAAATGAAGATTTGAGGACCTTATTTTCTGATTGTTTACCTTGAAAATATAAGGAGCTAGTTTAGACAGTCAAGTAAAATTTAATCCACGAAATAATTTGCTCTACGGACAGCATCGTTGCGGTAAAGGTCAAACGGAATTTTTAGTCACCTTAACCTTTCCTTAACTGAATAGGCGGAGATATTCAAAATTCCTCTTGAATGTTCACTCCACCGTCCGGAAGATCCCCTAAACCCTGCTATCAGCCAGAAGCTGATGGGTAAAAATCTACAAGCCGGGATCCAATTTGAAATTTGGTCCCTTGTGGCTCATATTACATGAATCATCCAAAACAAAACGCAACGCATTGGGAAGAAATGATTGCCGGTAGAGACTGGCGATTTTAAGAAAATGAGAGGACATTTTAGGAAAAGAAAAAATAGTAGAGCAATCTGTGGTTAATATCATGGGAGTTGCATGCTCAAAGGCTGGGAAAAATATAACCTTATCTCATAAATCTGCAAACAAACCATATTCACCACACGTTCTTTTTAATTGTCTTCCAACCAGAAGTTATAACATACATTACAATATTTTTAAGCAACATGATACAAACTGATTTCTACTGTATAAATACTGAAGAAGAAGGTGTCCATCCCTTAGCTTAGCTTTTAAGTCGCAGCCATGGCCACCCACGCAGCTCTTGCTTCTTCAAGAATCCCCACCAACCCCAGGTTTCAATCAAAGATCACCCACTCTTTCCCGTCTCAATGCTCCGCAAAGGTCCTTTTCTACTACTCTTCTCTTCCATGCTCATACATTCACACACACACACGCACACACACACAAACATACATATATATATATATGTGTGTGTGTGCATTTAGGCTTCTGTTTTTTGGGTAATTAATCAATTATAATGATATGGACTTTGCAGAGGGTAGAAGTGGCTGAGTTCTCTGGACTTCGATCCAACACATGCATCACATACAGCAAAAATGGGAGGGAATCATCCTTTTTTGATGTTGTGGCTGCTCAACTTACTCCCAAGGTCATTACACTACTCCATTCCTCATTTCTCTTCTACTGCAAATGTATATTGGTATAATTTTCAATTAATAAACTCACATTAGATTTGAACAAAATCAAGAATTGGTTTCTGAATCTGACAGAAAACAATCGAAAATATTGTTCATTTTTTAGTTGAGCCATAAATTGGAAATGATTTTGAATTCAGAGTGGAGCTGCATCAACTCCTGTGAGAGGAGAAACAGTGGCAAAACTGAAGGTGGCAATCAATGGATTTGGACGCATTGGCAGGAACTTCCTCCGATGCTGGCACGGACGCAAGGACTCGCCTCTTGATGTAATTGTCGTCAATGACAGTGGTGGTGTCAAGAATGTAAGTCAAACTAATCCATGCCTTGTTAACAAAGAAAACTTTGTCAATAAGTAATTAACATCAACTAATACCAAAACAGGCTTCACACCTGCTGAAATATGACTCAATGCTGGGAACTTTTAAAGCTGATGTCAAAATTGTAGACAACGAAACAATCAGCGTTGATGGTAAGCCCATCAAGGTTGTCTCCAACAGGGACCCTCTCCAGCTTCCCTGGGCTGATCTTGGCATTGACATTGTTATTGAGGTAACTTGATATTCGAGACGAATGTATGTACAGTAATTGGCTGTTTAGCGTTCGAATATTGGTTCAAGTATAATATGACGTGCAGGGAACAGGAGTGTTCGTTGATGGGCCAGGAGCTGGGAAGCACATCCAAGCTGGCGCTAAGAAAGTTGTCATTACAGCTCCAGCAAAAGGTGCAGATATCCCAACTTATGTTGTTGGTGTTAATGAGAAAGATTACTCTCATGAGGTTTCTGACATTATAAGGTCAATAATTTCTTTACCCCCCTTTTTCTTAACACGCCCTCTTATTAATTAGGCAATTTCTGATTTGGTTTTATGGGGATTTTCAGCAATGCTTCTTGCACCACAAACTGTTTGGCTCCGTTTGTGAAAGTTTTGGATGAAGAATTTGGTGAGTGGCTCATTTGGTTTGGATTCACTTTTTTCTGAATAAGAA